ACACACACACATCATGGTAAAATCAATACATTCGTCGCTCTACTCAGAATCTAAAAAAGGTAGTTACCAATATCAGAAACATAATAAATTTGATGTAAGTGTGGTTTAGGTTCAAATATAATAATGCAAAACTCACTAATTTATTTTAAGTTAAAGTAAAGTTTTGTAGGTACGATTATCAACCATGGATAAAAAAAGTGCAGTTAGGAAATATTCAAATATTATCCACTCTAAACTTGTTATCTCACTCGTGTAGTGAAATGTATTAATCCTTATCTAGCTTAGCAGTGGATTCAATATTCTGAAAATCTGAAAATATAATAACTCACACAATGCAGTGGATCTATTATCAATATTATAATAAACGTTCTGACTCAAACAATATGATATTATAAATTATATTCTATATTATCTACGATGACTGCATAATTAATTAAAATATTGGTGAGACTGTTCAATACGGAATGTGAAACATAATATTATACATTATTATATCATTATAAACATATTAGCATGGATACGTTAATCGTATTTTTATATAAAATGTGTTAAAATTTCCTATACAGCAGTATATAGAATAATAAGACTCCAAGGAATGTTTTGAGGAAATTGCAGGTGAAAGTTATTCCGTCTTGGCTCGTATGAACGTTAACTGCGCAAAAACTTTTTGACTCTCGACGATACTCCTCGGGACACACGACCCGCAGCAATAATGAAGAAATAACATTCTCCGGAACTTTTGTGTTTATGAAACAAGTAGACGAATTTTAAATTAAAGAAAAAACTTGTACAATTATTATTCTAAATTTTTCTTCGTGCCGTGTATAGCTACATATATTATAATTCGTACTTATATTAAATCATGGCCGCCTGCTGACATCGGGCAGTGGCGTATCGTTGTTAAAAGGGTGCGGACAATTTTCTCGAAAAAATTAGCATCGTGTATTAGTTGGGTACATTATTATACACTTACTCAAGTCGTAAATCTTTCTYCGAAAATCGGCATCAGTGCGTCGGGTGTGTTCGAAAAATTTGCTGGCTGACGGCCCGTGATCGTACTTCACGAAACTGTTCATTTTTTGAATAGTGTAGTGTGGTTGAATGGATGCGGAGGATTGTGCTGGCGAAATACAAATAAGGAAATATGCGTATAATTGTCAAAAAAATATTATACTTACATACTATATTCTTATGTGCAGTGGATTTATTTAAAGTTTAAAATGATAAGAACCATAACTCTAATACGTAATACTAATATTTGATAATAATATCTAACGCTATATTTCTCATCGATCAAACGTGATTTTTCAGACTTGTTGTCATAGTTAGCTAGCTCTGAATGTTACCGAATATTTTACATAATCATGAGTAAAATTGTAAAATGCCAGAATGCCGTATAGAGTAGGTATGTACCTATATTTTTATATTTTAAACTATCGTGGTCGTGCAACAGACACCTTACGATAGTGTTCTACCATAACATGTCGTGTACACAACGATACATATTATTTTAAGCACTTAAACGGTATTCAGTAAATTATCATTATATATACAGGGTGTAACGGAAAGACCTGACCAAAAAAATCGTATAATAAAAATTGTTGATATTATATGATAAGTAAATAAT